AGACAGCTTTTTTACGTTTTATTCCAAAAATATAAGCTTCTATATTACTCGGCAATTTACAATGACATGAACGTGATGGCAATATACATGATGACATCAAACTTAATTGAGTTTTCAAAAAAAATTCGCTCTTTAAAATTACTTTGAAAAAATAATTGACATGGCCATCAACATTTGTAAACTGGAAATCCCTAAAAATATGTTTTCGGATATAAAAATTAAAATAAATCTGAATTTTATTGCCAAGTTTTATTAGTAGAGAGGTTTCATATAAATTTTGTTTATTACCTGCCGAAATATTAACTTGATCCGATCAAATTCAGTTGCCTATCATATTGGTTCATATTGTACGTAACTACTAAGAAAGGACTTCAAATAATAGAAAGTGGGTTGTAGCAAAATACGACACATTCAGTGCGCCTGAGCCTTCCACTTCGTTCAGTTTTACGTCTAAAAAATTGATTCTTGCTTTTTTCCAACTTTGTTTCAAACGTTGCAATAATTCGGTAACATAATAGGGATGGCACGAATTTGGCCGACTTAAATTATGCTTACCAATTCACATTTTCATGTATTGAAATTAGGAATCAACATTTGAAAAGCCATTTTCTCAGATAAAAGTTTACGTCTTCCATTTTTAATATAAATTTTTATATTTACTTCAGAAATTCATCCAAGAAAATTTAAAACTTGAATAAAAATTCTTTAAAACATGCATGCCAAAGACAAGACGCGAAATCGCATGTTGAATTGCTAAGTTCGAGAAAGTAGGAACCTGAAAGCACGTGAGGCAACTCGTAGAAAATGTTCAGGTCATGTTGCATTTTTAACTTGTTTCTTGTTATCATTTTTGAATGTTATACATTCGTTCAGTTCATTCATCTGCGGACAGTCATCAAAATATTACAATGTAAGAAACAAACACAACATTCAAGTGTCCATGCAGTGGTTCGTGCATCACATCGCATCAGCGCACAGTAACTCAACCGTCGATATAGCCGAGAATTGTACCCGCCAAATTTTTTTTCATGAGGTTGTTAATATTATTGTTATTATGTTTTCAGAATTTTGAAATTTTTATTATCAATAGTGGACCAGGTGGGCAAAAATGTTTAACAAATTTAGTGAGATTAGAAATTGTTGTGTTAGTTATGGTGGCCAACAACTGTTAATAAATAGAGTTTGCAGTTTTGGGAACTGCTACGTCTGATCTTTCTAGCACTTGCCAAGTTTAGAGCAAATCTCAAGACTCATCTGTTTGCAAAATTCACTGAGGAGCGCTGTTAAACAACGCTGAAATAGCGCTTTACAAACTAATTGATTGATCAATTGATTAATGTTTCGAAATTGCACTTACGATATATCTTTGAAAGACACTCTATAAATACACATTTAATTATAATAATAATAATAAAAATAATAATAATAATCTCTGACGTTCGCCATGAAATTATTTGGCGGCAAAATTAATTAAGTGTTGTTATGACTAATACATAATAAACAGAATAATAAATTTTTTGAAATAATTTTCTCAAATTTTATCTTGAAAGTGACATCTCGCGGTAGGTTGATGACTGCTGCAACACCATGTTGGTTGCCTGCCTGCTTAGTGTATCATATCAATGCATCTTATGATCCTTGTAACTTTAGATCCGATGAAATTAATTTATTTTCTGAAATCTACTTTCTATTTCAATGCATGACATAGTTTTTATTTAAACTAGAAAAAGAATAATTTCTAAAATAAAAATAAGAACAAAACTAAATTACTGAATCTTAAAAATAAAACGCAGGAAAATAAAGCAACAGAAGCAGGTATTGAAAAAACTTGACAACAAAAATAAAAAATATGCATTAGACAAGAGACTTTGAAAATAATTTTATTGAGTTTTGAGTTTCCTTGTCAGAAAAGTTGAAGTGAACGACCTGCCATGCATTGTCAATCATGTCGACTGCTGCAGCAAACGTTCAAAAAATTAAATTTCTTCATCACCGTTTGGGAGGTCATTTCTTAAAAGTTTCAAACTTTTCAAACAGAAAAATATTTTTTCAATTTTTAAAATTTTTTTGTCGTGGTTTATGCTAATTACGTCAGAAAGTTGCACTGTAGAATATTTCTTATAAGAAGTCTGTGTGGGTGGAAGTGCACGAAAGTGTGAGTGCCAAAAATGTTGCTGAATTAGTTCAAAAATTTCACTTGAATAATTTCAAAATTCACATTACAAACATAATCGCTTATTAATGTACAAAATTTCATCTGAACATCAGTAAGTAAGTTTCCAAAGAGCAAGCATGAAAAAATGAAAAAAAAATTTTAATGGTCTGCGTTCCGTTCAATATTGATCGAGTTCGATCGTAAATTCAGAACTCTGACGTAATCTGAATCGGATTTCTTGAAAAAAAAATCCGACAAAATAAATCCGACATGTCCGAATTGAACTAAAAAAACTTCATTCAAATGTTATCATGCTCGGAATCCGAAGTTTTACCTCTTGCTAATCTTTGACTTATTTACGATCTTTTCTATTTATAAAGACGCCATCTTTTATTTTTTGTTGTTTCATCGTTTTATGAGCTCCGCGTCATGTTGGCAAATGTTTTTGAAAAATTTATTGTCGAGTTGATGTGAGTTGTGGAATATTTAAATATTTCAAATAGTTTTATTTATTAATAATTAAATTAAGTACGCCAAAAAAGTGGTTTTAAAACTTTTTGACAATTTTTCGAAAAGACTAGAAGAATTGATTGAAAAATATTAATAGTTGAAAAATGTTTGAAAAAAATTATTTTAAATTACATTAACAACCTAAATCAATTTTAAAATTCTTTGCTTAGTTCTTATTAAAATTTTTCTTCAAATGTAAAAATACGAAATCAATTATATAAATGTGTGAATTTAATTAACTCAAATCTATCATTAAAATTCAGATATAATTAATTGACTCCAAGGTTCCATTGGCTAATTTATTTTGACCGGGAATTCTAAATTTTTTGGCTAAATGGCTGAATTTTTTTGGATTATTTTCACTATCAATATTTTTTCATTAAGTAAAACAAAGGTTGATTATAGTATATATACCTAAACATAATTTTTTTGAAATAAAATAAAATTATTAAATTATGTTTCGTTAGTGAAAATTGTAGTAATTTCAGAATTTGTAGTGTTGTGATATTTAAAAAACACAATCACAAAATGAATTCGCACATCAAATTCATCCTCCAATAAACTTGAAAAAACTCATACTCACCCATCAGAAAACTGGCACGCCACAATTACTAAATAAAAGATTTGCACACCACACCCGACATTGAACTTGGCACCACTCTCACTAACCCACCTGAGAAAAAGCACACTACACTCACCCATCAATGGGCTTGTACACGTCACCTACCCTCCAATATACTTACACGCCGCACCCACCCCGCAACGAACGTTCACACTACATTAATCCACCCAAAAACGAACTTTCACTCAAAACTTACCCACCGAGCAACGAACTTACACACCACACCTACTAACCCAGCAATGAACTAGCAGCAACACCATAATTCATATGTTCAACGTTATCAGCTAGTAACACGAAAACGTGAATTAGCTCGAGCAAATCATAGAATAAGAAAGGAAAATCATAGAATAAAATAAGAAAGGAAAGGTTTCTGCAGACGGAATGTAGAGATTAATTGATATAATGAAGCCGCAGAGTTTACATTACCTCCAATATTTTTTCGCATAAAATGTATTTTTTCAATGGCCAAATATTCATACATACGTGTACAAGTCGCAGGTAAACATGCATGCACATGCACACGTACACGAACAAGTGTAAAAGCTAGACCTGACCTTTTTGCATGATTGAAGTACACAAAGACTTATTAATTAGTTCTGTTCTGTGATGTTTTAGTCATCAAAAAATTGTTTTTTAACAGAATAATGTTTAAATATTGTCGATTTTTATTATCAAGAGGTGAGACCTAGTTGAAACTGACAAATTTGTTGGTTTATTTTTCACACAGTCATCCTTACAATGGCATGCAAACAACTCGCTGCAAAAATTTTTCTGCAAAAATTATTTAATCTTTGAACGCTAGAAATTTAATTATATAGCTTTTTCTCTATTTCTTTAATGGCTCAAAAATATAATATCAAATAAAAATATTAAATAACGGCAGCTGAAAATTGTAAAAATTTCCTTTTTTGAAACGAAATTTTCAAATTTAAACGTGAATATTAAAATTTTAGTATAAATATTTTCAGTCAAAATTTTTGTCCCAATATGTAACATTGTCATCACAATACATATAAAAACATTTTTATTAAAAAGTAAATAAATATAGTCATTCAAATGTATACATATATGTTTTTTTTATATTATGTAAACAGAATTAATTTCAGAAAAAACTTCTCCCGACACGCGCTGATGAATGGAAAAAAGCAAATGATGAAAAAATAAGATTCAACAGATGAAGTTAAATAATAAATTGCTTTAAATAGCCTCGCATTTACGAATCATCCAAGATTTTCTGTCATTACTAAATGAAACGAAGATGAATATTCCTACAATTTCAGCCCGATAATAAATTGATGTAGGCTTCTACATAATCTCTTCTGCCTAATTTTTTTATAATGTCGTTTCTTTTTTTTTATTTTCTTGTAAATTTGCTATCTTCATATATCTTTAAGCAGCTTTTACTAACAAACCTTATGGAACGGACGGTCAGAATTCGTACTGTACAATAATTTGTCAGACAAGCCAGAATGCCGTCACACATATATTTATGTGCACCTTCTTTGTCTTATGTGCAAGGTTCTATGTCAAATGTCTAATATTATATGTATATATAACAATCCAACCATTTATACAATGCTAATTCGCACCATTGTTTTAAAGGTGCTTGAGTCTGCGTGTAAGTGTTGAAAAGATGAAATTATAGTTTTTTTTAAAAGACTCAGGAGGGAACACTTTCTCACTTTGAAAGGTAAAGTTTAGCCTGTCACGGAAATGCGGAAAGATCTGGCATGTTCATGGCGGGATATAAGGTCACAGAGTTAGCTCAGTCAGTAGAAGTGCCATGTCTCTCGTTGTTATTACGCGATGACATGTTTCAAATACTATCCATCCAAAATTCAAAGACGCGTATGATGCGGTGCTTGCGCGTGCATACATAATGATATGTGCGTCGTTTGTTGTGAACAGTGCGGGGAGTTGTACATTTGGCTGTACATTCATTTGATAATAAAAAGAGAATTTTCGTGAAATTTCTTCATAACTTAATCTTTTTCACAACATTTTTTCAATTTATATTTTGATGCGTCTTTGTCCCCTTCGTCTAAAATGTGACTGATTTGGAGGCCCTCTGTAAATTGTCGTTTACAATTTAGTCGTGAAATTTTCCACAAGTTTGTCGTACGCGATTTTCGACAAATTCTCGCGCACACAAATGTTTTTATATTATCTATTTATTTTCTCATTCACACGTGCTTCAAAATAATCACACGTTTGAAGAATTTTTAAGATATTGCTCTTTATTAACTCTGCAACGTTTCAATTTTAAATTATAAAACTGAGAAGCAGGTTACAAATTGCATGGATAATCCAAGTTGTTAACCTCAAATATTGCAAATCCTTGTACACATACAAACGCATTGAAGACGTGCTGTAGACAATGTAAACCTCCAAACGTGTTAGTCATCTATATGCTGCAACAATACTTTTTAAAACGTTAATAACATGGTGCGAATGAGTCAGATAATAATAGGAGAGAAAGATGAATGCAACACGTTTGAAATGCGTATTTTGCATTGGGTCCTTCGTATCGTCATTAAAAAAATCTCGTTCTTTCATAATTGAACATTGTTCCTAAGCATTCTTAAGTTTTAAATCTGTGTTTTAAATTTGTTATTATTATTAACAATTGATCTTTTTCCAACTATAAAAACAACGTACATTTTTAGAAAATGGTTAAATAGAGTGTGGTCTCGTTTTTGTGGTAAGATGGCGAAAAAAATGATAGTGAGCGAATATTTTGATAAGTTTGGAGCTGCGGCAAAAATTTAGATGAAATTCATTTTAAAAATTCGTTAATATATTCAAGTTGACGAAACTTTCTGTGTAAAAAAGAGGAAAAGTTGGCATTTAATCTGCCGGACTTTTCAAGGAAATGTGATATAGGAAAGCATTTCTCCGAGCTTATAACCGCTGTCAAACATGTGTTAATGACTGTGAAGACATTAACTGAACAAATTGTAAAAGATATAGCGCCGGCCGTTTTTAATGTTCTTGGCAGCCACAAATATTTACAAAACGATATACAGCGAAACCTACAACAGCTGACGGATAGAATAAGTGACTTTGTGAAGAAGTCAAATGATAAAAATACAAGGGCTCAATTTAAAATTGACGGAAGAATGGAGAACATTGAGAACAAATCAAACGTTTCTGGTGTTCTCAACATGTAGAATGGTAATTAGCGGGTTAACGAGGCAAATAAAAGTGAATCTCAATCAGGAAATTTTATTTTGGTTAAGCGCAAAACACGAAGTAGTCGAACAAACTCTAGTACTGCGGAAGTAAGTAATTCTGTCATTGGATCTTGAGCTTCAAACGAGTCAAAAATTTCTGCAAGTAAAATTTTGCCTCGAAAGAAAATATTTCGCGTCAGTAGCTTGAAGAAATGATCACTTCAAGTCAATTTGCGTGGATGTCATTTCGTGCTATCCAACTTCCAAAAAAGGTAAAAAAAGACAATAATCGTGATGATTCGCAGACGTCAACCTCCTTTCAACTGTGCGTCAACGCTAGATTGTGGTGGTTTCCAGCGAGAATTCCTGGCCGGAGTATGTACGGATCCGTAACTGGTCGTTCAACAACAGCAGTGATGGTGTTAAGAATTGCTTATTAAATAGACATTATTAAAGAATATTGCCAATTTTAGTTGAAAAATATTCTTTTTTTTGAACTTATAATACTATATGGCACTAACTTAGTTAAAACTAGGCATCAACTTTTTCTGGTGTCCTTTCAGGAATTTTTTTTAAATTTTTTCATTAACAAACCAGTATAAAAAATTATTATGAATAAATTCATATTATGTTAATGTTTAAATATTTGATAAAATGTTTAATCGCAATTCTAAATTATTTTCTTTGTTGCCGAAGCTCTTCAAATATTCCTCTCACAATCAGAATGCAATATTTCGTGAGGACAACTCGTGTTACAATGCCAGTTTCAAACAGCACAACTCCATGTGGTCTCTTGTCAGAAACCCATGCTCTTATGTTTGTAAACTTTTCAAACAAATTTGGTGTCGCAGTTTTAAAGTGTTCTTAAAAGAAAATATAAAAAAAGAGAACTTAATGTTCAATGTTTTAATGTTTGTCTTCGCAGTTATATTTGGTGACCAATTTTGTATTTTAATTAACTTTCCAAAATTATAAGTTTAATAGGCTAGCTAACGGACCACCATTATCATCTCTATTCCATTCATGTCACCTTCATCAACGCCACATAGAATAATTATTTGTTCGAGCAATCTTGTAACACGTGACAGTTTTTTAATGGTTTTGTCAAAAATTTATGAACGTTTTTTTACTAAAAAATTTATTTTTATAAAAAAATTAATGAAAATTAGTGGATGTTTTGTCTTTCAACGTGGTTCAAGTTGGTTGAATATTTTATTATTAAATAATGTTTCATAACTTTTTAACGAAACTGATGTTTTAAAATTTAAAAAACCTTCATGTGAAAAAGCGAAAACAAAATGTCAGCATTTTGAAACATTGCTAACACTTCCTTCATGTCAACTTATCATTCAACATCTACAAAATGCTGTTCATTTGTCGTTTTGTACATTCCTTTCTCGATAAGAAGACTTCGACTGCATCAATTTTGTTTTGATTGGCTGATTGAGTTGTTTTTCTCCGTTACTAGATGTCTGGTTGCGCGTTAACGTTCTTCGAGTCAACTGTCTCAAGAATGAATTTTTATTCATTTGTTGGACGAGTCATTAAAATGTCGAATTGTTATAATATGTTGTGTTATAATACTTATGAGACTTACTACGGATACGAAGGTGTTTGGATTGTTGATTGGTTTGCTAACAAGTATTGAAGAGCTGGTGTTGGTTGAATTGAAAAATATTTTTGATGAGTTGACTGAAAAATGTAAATGAATTGGCAGAGAAATGTTGATTGGCTGATTGAAAAATAATTATGCCTATTACATCAAACGACATACCAATCCTAACATAGTCGTTTATAAGCTTTTGACTCTAAAACTCATCATATTAAACAATTTCACACAGTTGTGTTTTAATAATCTCCAATATTAATTAAAAATATTGGAATTAATTTCCGGACAAACCAGGAATGCCACACAGCCTATGAATATCAAGCAAGCGCAACAAGCGGATGGGAGAGACGCAAACAGAGCTGAGCAGTTTGAAGCGCTTTTGAAAGCAAATTAATATATAATTAATACAAATATCCTACTTTATGTGAGCTCACACAGGCATTATGCGGGCAATTGATGGTAGCTTTTTATTTCCAGACTGACATGTTTGTTGTGTTTTTATTGGTCCAATCTTGTTTGCAAATGTTCTGCTATTTTTTTTATTACTTCTAAAAACAACAGTTTGAAGAAATTGCGTTTGAAAGAATTTTAATGACCAACAATTTTTATACCTTGAGTGCGTGAGATGTGTTAGAAATTCATTCCACAGATATAAATTGCTTTTAAATCAAACTATCAATATCAATATTTTACATAATTGAATAGAATTAATTTAGATAATGATACTAGTTGCCTTTCATTTTCAACGAAAGAATTTAATTCTAAATAAGTTTTAGAATTTTTATTTGGATGACATTAGACCAATCAAACAATAGACCAACCAGACAATAGACCAGCCAGACAATAGACCAACCAGTTAATGAACTAACCAGAGAGGAAGCCAACCAGACAACAAATCAACCAAACAATTGACCAACCAGACTATAGATCAACTAGACGATAGACTAGCCAGACAATAGACTAACCAGAGAGGAAGCAAACCAAACAATAAAACAGCCAGACATGAGAGCAGCTAGACAAAACACTAACCAGCACAGCAGTATTGTAAAAAGTACTAAGTTTCGGTACTTAATAACAAGTACAAGAAACTTAAAAGAGTCACTAAAGTAAAATTATAAATACTTGTTTAAAAATTTATTTAAGTTAAAGGGCAACAGAGTATTAAGCGTAATACTGTACAAAACAAAACGTTACCAAATGTAAAAATTGTCTATATTAAATCAAATTAAGAATAAATAAAAATTATTTTAAATCAAATTAACAAATAACAAATTATTTGAAAATAGTTGATGATGCGCGTTTGTTAGCATTGGATGCATTCCTTGAAAAGGGGTGATGTTGTTTTATTTGTTTCACAGTGAACTAACAAATAATTTGTATTTATTATATTATATTTATTATAATATGTATTTGTTAAAATGTATGAGTTATAATTAATATTCTGATGTTGTTGAATGCGAAGTTAAAATGAAAAGTTTTCTAGTCCGTTGTTTGCCGGTACGACAATGTTTTTATCAGTGCCGACTCTACATAATATGGTGTGTTATAGATGTTTACAACTGCTGTATCATGTTCTGATGAAATTTTTTATTCTCAGTGGTTGGTCTGGAAAATATCTTCTATAAACGCCGTAAAACATTTATGTATAACATTTGCTGATCAAAATTAAATTATTTTAATTTAATATTTCAGAAAAAATTTATATGAACAAATCTCTACTGTAAATAAAAACATTTTGTAAAGACCTTCTAATCTTGCAGAAGAGATAAATTTCAGTTGACCATATTACCAGCCAGCTCCGATGTTAAGGCAAACAAATTAAATTCCTACCTAATCCCCGAGACAGGCATTATAACGTCAACAGGTGTGCCGCATTAATCGACTTAGAAGACAAACTTTCACTCACTTGCCTGCTGTTGTTCTCCTACCCCTCCCTGCCTGTCTTCTTATTCATTTTTAACGGTTTAACCAGCTGTCCTCAAGTCGTCATGCCAATTTTAGATCTGCTTTAAAAAAATGGCTCCTAAAGAATTTAAAATAAAAGCTGAAACAATTTTAAACCAGCGTTTGTAAACATCATTTCGTTTGTGAAATTTTTTTATACTATCTTGTGTAAGCTACTATTTTTTTATTTAAATTTTGTAACTTCGTAGGTTAATATAAAAAAAAATTAAAAATTTTCAAGTTTCAACTTTTTTCATAAAATCTACAAAAATGCTCCTATGTCTCAAAAATTTTGCTCAGACAAGACCTACATCAGGAGCAGCGGGATCGCAAATGTTTGCCTATTTTTTCGTGGGAGCACTTTTTTTTCAATTAAATTTGTTGCCATTTGCCATTTTTCCGATAAAATCCATCTTACAAATAAGTTATAGTGGTTTTAATATTTCAAATTTGACACAATTTGTGTCAAGATAGTAGAAATCTTTTTATGTCCTTAACAGATAGCGGTAACATGCTCTTAATTTTGTAAAATTTTAATTAAAAAAATTGATTTTATTATTCCATTAGACCTATTCATATTTCTGACGTTCTGTTAAAATGGTTTGTTGGAAGTTTACCTGTTATTAAACTTTTTATAAAATGTTCAAAAATGTTATTGCAACCAACTGCTGAAGAGGTTTTGCAGAAATGTTTATTGAATTTGAAAAGATTGCTGCAGACAAGAAATATAAAAATTTAAATAACTTTTAATATAAATTCGAAAAATTTTCATCTATGTCATTTTATTGTAGACCAATCGATTTTTTTATTGATAGTTTCCAAATTGTTCAAATAAAAAGTAATTGAAAATTAGCAAATAAAACGTAACATGAGCGATTATTATTTGAAATATGTTGGTTCCTGACAAAGTGTAAATTATGTTGTGAAAAATATCAAAATTTATTGACTTGACCTTGGTTTATTGAAAATTTATTGACAGTTTTTTGAAAATGAATTTGATTTTATTTTATAGAATATTTTATATATTTTTATACAAGATGGGCGAAGAATGGATAGCGAGCTGATCTTGAGACAACATGCTGCTTCTTGCGCTGCGGTTCACGTCAATCAATCTCCACTGTTGGGTCGTCTGCATAACAAAGTCTTCTTGCACCTTTTCATCTCGTGAAACAAAGTTTTGTTTGTCTTTCCATGGCAATAATAATAATAATAATAATATAATGTTAAAAATGGTTATGCTTATTTTTTCAACAATTTTTTAACACTCGTTATTTTAATTTGAACTTTTTGGTCCTTACTGGAATGATTTTTAAACGTGAAAACATAACAATCCACATTCAAATTACATCCCACCACGCAAGTATCATAAACATTAACACATGTTACTGAGTGAAAACAAATATTTTTTTTTACATTGCAAGCACAAAGTGTTTCAAAGGACATC